AATATTTTTTTTTAAATAGGAAAAAATTATTTCGAAGCAAAATCCTCGTAAAGGTTTCGAAGTAAAGTCCTCGTAAATTTTCCTAGTAAGTTCCTCGTAATCGTACTACGATATTACGAGGAAACAATTTACTATGACATTATGAGGAAAAGCTACGAGGACCTTACGAGGAAAACTTATCCACGCGTTTACGAGGAAATGTTTTCTCGTAAATTAGCTAGGACCTTACGAGGAAAATATGCTTTACGATGAACGTCTTTCGACGAAACGCGTTTCCTCGTTATTTCCTAGTAAATGGTCATTTACTAGAAAATAGCGAGGAAAACCCGTCCTAGTAAATGACGAGTTTTCTTGTAGTGGGACGGCATATACATTAATAAAAATATATTAAGTATATATAAAGTAAATTTAAAACTTAGGTCATAAATCTAAAATAACACAATACTTTAAGCTAAAACACAAAAAAAGAGAAAAAAATTCATAGAAAACAAACTTTAGTCTAATTCTATGAAAAGAGAGAGAAAATCGATATGTGCAAGGCTTTCAAGCCAAAACTTGTTCCTTTAGATCGTGTCGTAAGTCTTCTGACTTTGAATCAAGCAAAATAACAAATACACAAGCATTAGGATCCGGGAAACTAGTTTCACTTAACCAATAATTTATCTTAACGTTCCCAAGCTGTCCCCTTAAAGTCTCAGTGGTGTTCCTATCCCCAAAACGTTTACGGTACAGGTACGGGTACGGTTACTAAACAGACGTCCATGTGCTTCATAGGCGTAACCGCTTTGGCTACATCACATCAGCCAGTCAGACCCTTAATTTTGATTTAATTACACTAACACATTTTTTTTCTTTTTTTTTGGAGAGCAAACTTACACATATTTTCCATGAGAAATATGGCTTCATATACATAGCCCACAAAACAATTCAGTCTATAACCATAACAAACATATGGTTAGAATATGATACATAATATGCTCTTTATTGCCCAAAATAACCTCATCTTGAGTGTGGAAAAGGAACTTTTGCTCTCCTTAATTTTTTTGTAGCTATTACAAATCAACACATCCTTTGTCACTTACGATATCGAAATAAAAGCCACTGTGCCCGTGGGGTTTTGATAAGTAGCGTTTGGGGCCTAATTGCGAGGAGGAGTTTGATATATGCACATCAAAAATAAGTTGCGGCGGCTGTTTGTTATGCGAAGAAATTAATTAGGTTTTTAAAGGTTTCAGGGGCGGAACAATTAGAGTCCCTGGTGAACAGACAGAACTTCCGTTACAAACCACTTCATCAAGGTAATACCAGTTTTAGGTTTGGTTATTACGAGATCGCAATAGTTGCGGAGCTTTCCCGGCCGGAGGTATAGCCCCTTATATCAAAATTTATATCTTCATCTTTGCACAAAAAGAAATTAGTTGATTCATCTCTCTGTATGTCGGCAAAAAGATGACTATACTATTTCTATACTTTTATAAATAGTATAGTTGGTGCTAGAAAAAATCATTACAAGACTATTTACGATTACTAGATTGTTTATACTTTGTTCATGGGTTAACTATTACTAAATTGAATATAGTCTATGCTTACATGTCTTACACTTTTATATTTAGGAAATCAATTAGTCGATGCATGTCGGTTTCTGGGTTGTTTTCATTTCTTCATAGAACACAATTAGTTGATTCATTTCTCTGCATGTTGGCAAAAAAAAACTATACTATTGCTTTAATTTTATAGAAATAGTATAGTGGTGCTAGAGAAATGCATTCGAAAGATATTTACGATTATTAGATTGTTTATAGTATATGCATATATTGTTTTTGGGTTAACTATTACTTAATTGATTATAGTCTATGCATACATGGCTTACACTTTACTATTACTATACTATTGGTAAATATTTATACTATAAAATGTTGTTGGTGCTATATGCAGATCATCATTGTACTGTATATAATATAGCTATATAGATTTAATGCCGTAATATCAACTGTTAATTATTCCCTTTCAGTGTGTCATGCTATAGTGTTACTTTACTATGACTAATGACTATACTATTAGTTAATCTTTACAGTATAGAAATTTGTTGGTTTTATAGTCAGTCATTTACGGAGATAATTATATATTATAGTATAGTCAGATACATTATTACGTGAAATAACATATCTGCATTCCATGTATAGGATGGAGGAGTTTGGAGTTTGCCGGAGCAGTTGTATCGAACATGGTTCAAAAGCTCTATATATTCTATATTATATCGTTTATAGTTTAGATGAGATCAACAATTTCAACACATGATGGGTGTAGAGGTTTCTTATGTATCGCCAATAGAAGATTGTATTATGCTATTCCTCCCCATGTGTGAAATAACATTATTGTTGCCGGACTATCACTCCCCCTTTTTCAATTGTATTTGTTCTATACTATTTAATATAATAATATAGTATCATGTTGACTGTGTACATCACTTATAACTCGCCTATTTTTTCTTCTTTTTCTTTCTCTTTTTATTTCATCTCGAACGTACCAATGTTACTATCACTACTACTGATTGTTTCATCGCCGCTGCCATCTTCTCTTCAACCACCATCACTCATCCTCTCTTCCACCTCAAGTAGGAAAATCGAACTACGTTCCAAATAATTAGGAAGAACACACATGTTTTATATCTTCGTATTTGGAACAATGCCCTAAATATTTAGTTTTCATGCATATTAAATGCAACATTGAATTAAACATGTAACGTGTGTCTCTTCTGACCATGTATGCTTGTATTAGTCTCTTCTCACCATATAATATATATTATAGTATAATTTAGCTATGTTTATTACATAAGGTGACGCACATGTATTCACGCGCATCCGAATAGAAGGAGAAAAACGTCAAACTTTGGTGCTAAATGTCATATCAACTGTTCAATAGCTATATTCTTAATTTGGACTCTTATGAATACTAGAGCTTGACCTGCACGACTGTGCATGTGTTTATTTTCATTTTTGTGTGTATATATATATATATATTTAATTAATTATATTATTTTTAAACACCTAAATTGTATAGTTTGTTTGTTTTATTTAATTAAATATTTCAAACTCACATGTATTTGTTACTTCTTATTATATATATATATTTTGTTGGATTTGTGTTTAATTATTTGACAAACTAATATATGCAAAGTTCCAAAAATTTGAAAATTATTTTATATTTCCTTCTCTATTATTAAATCTAATAAATTGATCTAATTTCAGTTTAATTTACAAGTAGTAGTAAGAAATAATTTTTGTTTAGTAATTTTCTGAATTTTATGACAAATTTAAAATATTCATATGCATCAATAATTAAGCAAATAGTATTAGATATTTATAGAAATGATTGAATATTAAATAATACTTTGAGCAGAAGTTTTATGTAATGTAATTCAAACATATATAAATTTAAATTGAGATTTACATAATATAGGAATCTTCTTATCTATTAAAACAACATACATCTTATAAATGGGATAATTTAGTATGTCAATCTAACAAAGACTTTAACCTTTTTTTAACTGTTAAATATTTTTTCTGCCTATATTATAAATATATAACTTTGATATTATCTTAAACATTTTAAATATATGATTAGTATTTTAATGCTATATATGTATAATTTAATTCTATAATTTTATTGTTTTATTTATTTGACATTATTAATACATACATACTTTTATACAATTAAACTTGTTTTAAATTGTTATTACACAATAATATAATTTCAAATTTGGTAAATAAATTAATAATTTGAAATAATTAAATAGGTAACCGTTTTAAAAATATTTTTATACGTTTTATACATTTTTTCTACAGTTTTCAAGCAATTTAAAAAAAAAATTATTTAGTTATACAATATAATAGATATTTGTTTAGGATCATTTATATTTCCTGGTTATATATAATTTAGCATCTATAATTTTAGTATATAGATTTTTTTTATAAAGAATTATATGGTTATATTCAAATAATTTAGAATAATAATTACGAATTTAATTAAATTTTTTGTAAGATTTTGTTAGATTCTTTTTCAACAGAGTTTATATAGTTAGAAATAAAATAAAAACAATTTTATAGATGGAGTTGTTATATGTGTTGATTAAATAACATATGATATTTTAATGATGTCAATATTTTAGTAAGAAATAAATGATATAAGATTTTCTAAGGAATGTCCATTTTAAAAAAAAATATCACACATGGATAGAAGTTGTGACTTATCTTTTAATATAATAGATTTGTTTACAACATATTAACACCCTATTAGCCTTATATGGTTACAAACTTATTGTGACATGGATAGATGTTCCAAAGCATGGAACAGACTATACTACATCTTTTGTGAAGATAAGTAACAAATATCGAATATTGTTCTTTTAAACTAATACGTTTTCTTTTGGTTTGTTAATCTTAACTTAAAAAATTTATTTCATTATTATTGGTGTTGTATACAGATCGTCCAATCAGTTTTTTTAATTCTTTCTGAGAAAGGGTCTTCATATCGTCCAATCAGTTAACTTCTTTTATTCTTCATAACATGACTTGCTCTGTTCTCAAAGGAAAATATTTGCAAGTTCAATTGTTTTATAAACTAATTACAACACAGAATATAGAAAGATACATATTAAAATTCAAATTAAGGTACCAACCTGTATTACAAAATTAGGGAGTGGTCCAAGCTGTTGTTCTGAAATGATAGAGGATCTGGTGAAGGTTTGATGCTTCGAAATGTATTTGAACTCTCCTAGATTGAGCTGGAAAGTGAAGGTCTTGCCCACAATATCAGTGATAAAGTGGGGGAAGTCGTTGTCTACTCGAGCAATCACACCTTCACCTTGCAAAGTTGTAAAATTTTAATTAACGAAGCTGTAGTCATAAGTAAGAGCTTCAATTTAAATGAATGGCTGACAAAAAAAACAATACCTAAATATGTGCAGCTTTGGTAGCCTGAATGTTTGTTAGCTTCGCCATCTAAAGATCAAAAGTCACAGGAACAGCATCATCAGTCTTCTCGGAAACAGACAGCTCCACACGATACCTATAGACAAGTAAGAAACACAGCAAAGTGTAATAGTTTTCGGGAAGCTATGTTAGAAGATAAAATATCAGTGATAACTAAGGAAGAAGATAGTTACTTGAGGCACACACAGCGTGGGGCTTATCACAGAAGAGTCATGTGAAAGAAGATATCTCATGCTGGAGCTTCTTTGAACATCTAATGCATTCAATATAACACCATCCTTTTTCTGTTTAGATACCAGTTACTTTCGCAGTGCAAAGAAATTCAATTATCTGTATCAGTATGGAAAACTAACTGTTAGAAGTCTAAACTGAGATATTGAGTTGAGATAGACGAAACTTTGACCTGAGACTCAGATGTCAAAGTGTATTGGTTGAGTGTAGAGACGGTGAGTGGTTCTATTTTTTGAGCAGGAACCAGCTTGAATGTAAAACCATTCTGGGTTGAGGCATCCCCACTCAACCTAAAGAGTTTAAAGTGACATCACACTATCACAGTACCAAATGATGATATCAATATGCAAATATTTTACTCCGCGCTAGATTTGAGATTGATCAAGAAACCTTTCCAGGAGTAGAGGTAGAAAATGAACCATCTGCTTCCTTCCCTTGCCAGAGTCTAAGCTTTTGCGTTCCTGATTTCATTAGCATCTTGCTATTAACGAGACGGATCGTGGTACCACCAATGAGTCCCTCAGCTTTTCCACACGAAAACATCCCATATCTGATACAAGCATAAAATCTTCGCTAAACAGAAGAAAAAGAAAACAGAAAAAGCAACTGGGGCAGCTTTTTGTTTACCGTGATGGCAAGTTGCGAGTGAGCAGTCAAGTCACGATATTTGGAACTGAGAGTGATGAGTTCGTTCCAACAGTATGGTGGTCCTATAATGTTCAATCTGGAATTAAGAACAGAGCTAGATGAAACATCAAAACCCTTTTACAAAGGTCATTACCATCACAGCACAAACACAATCAAGGAAGGCAAAATTTATGAGGAATATATATGGAAACAAAAGAATCTCCACATCAGTCACATGTCCATATATCCTCCTTTGTATCTGCATCGTTATCCTATGGTTCCTCTGTCTCACATTTCATCCACATCATATCAAATTCCAGATCACAACAAATCATTATTATTAATATTCAAAATCCAAACAAAACAAAATCACCTGAGCAAAGTTGATGATGGATTGGCGAAACCTAGGATGAACCTTGGCTTGGTGCTTGAGCTGACTCGCCAATGGCTTACTTATCGTTTTCACCAGAAGCGTCCTCAGTTTCATCAACGGTAGCACCATCTTCCTCCTCCTACAACTATCTCACTTGACTCTCGGGAGAGAGAAAGATTGCGAAGAATGCTATCTATTAAATGCAAAGAATCATTAGATGACAGAAGATGAGACTTCTGAATCGGGAACGGAGGCTACTCTACTTATTAACTACATCAAAAGAAAATTGCATGAGCATTATGAATTAATCAAACAAATCGTCTAGAACCCTAAACTGAGGGAAATCAGAACCTAGTATTGTGCTTACCAAGGAAATCAACTCGGAACCAAAAATAAACTTCAAAATATTTGAATAAGTGGAATCGTAATCTATTTGCGTCGATGAACAGACAGGTGTCTTTCAACTCTGGGAGGCCAGAAATATGAGTCAAACAAATGGTTAGAGAGTGATCATCGACTCGGTAGATTTCTTTGGTTAATGAGGCTGTAGATTTATTTCTCTAGGTAGATTTTGCAGTTCTGGAAGCCATTGCTTATATAGGGTGAAAAAAAGTAAGGGAATCGCAACGGTTCCAAGGAACACATTTGTTGCAGTTAAGAAGAGCTTTGATGAGAGAAAGAGAGGTGGAGGAAGATAAACAATTGAAAAACTGAGTTGTGAATAACAACTTTTTCCTTTAGAAGAGAAAACCAAAGGACCAAAACCAAAAGTGAATATCCTAAAATCATGAAAGAGAATAAAAGTAGTAATAGAAGGTTTGGACTCTAACCTGGGTTTCTTACAAGACTGGACAAAAAAAAAAGAAAGCAAGTGAATATTAAAGTAGCCCGATTTATTCAACCGTAGAAAAATGACTTCGCATCTTGATGAATTTTAATTGGTTGATTTAATTAAGTGACATGGATAGTTTTAGAGTGGAGGATATTCCCCTTTTATTATTGTGTTTTTGCTCAATATAACAATAATAAAAGGGGAATATGGTGTTTTTGGAAAATAGGGAGTTTTTGCTCAATCTAACAATAATAAAAAGAGAATATCATCCACTCTAAAGACTTATTTTTGGGTTCATCCCCTAGGATGAACCTCTAGATTCACCATCCAATAATATTGCATTATTTCATATTTGATATCTTTTTAAAAAGGAAAAAAAATCTTATTAAGTTATATTATGTTTTTAAAAATAAAAATACAAAATAAATACAAATAATAAGAATATTTAATAAAAACGAAAATAAAATTTAGCGTTTATGATTTATCCAAGGGTTTAGGGTTTAGTGTTTATGATTTAGTGTTAAAATATTTTTTTAAAGAATTTTTTTATAAAAGTTATTCAAAGGTTTATGATTTACCTATGGGTTTAGGGTTAAAATATTTTCTTTCAAAAAGATATCAAATATAGGGTTAAAATATTTTCTNTTAATAAAAACGAAAATAAAATTTAGCGTTTATGATTTATCCAAGGGTTTAGGGTTTAGTGTTTATGATTTAGTGTTAAAATATTTTTTTAAAGAATTTTTTTATAAAAGTTATTCAAAGGTTTATGATTTACCTATGGGTTTAGGGTTAAAATATTTTCTTTCAAAAAGATATCAAATATAGGGTTAAAATATTTTCTTTAAAAAGAATTATTTTCATTTTTATTATTTATTATTATTTTTATTTTTAAAAACATAATATAACTTAACAAGATTTTATTTCCCTTTTAAAAAGATATCAAATATGTAATAATGCAATTCAATTCTATAGGGGATGAACCTAAGAATAACTCTTTTCCAATGTCTCTTTTCAGATTTATTCTCTAGGTTCACCAACCAATAGGATAGTGTTATTTTATATTTGATATCTTTTGAAAAAGGAAACAAAATATTGTCAAATTATATTATGTTTTAAAAATAAAACTAGAAAAAAATAAATAAGAATAATAATATTTACACAAAATGAAAACAATTCTTTAAAAATATATTTTAACATTATATTATGCTTTAAAATTAAAGATAAAAACAGTAATAATTGCAAAAAAAAAATAAAACAAAAAAATCTTTTAATATATCTTTAAAATAAAAATATGTTTTAAAATAAAAAGATAAAAATAAATAAAAAACAGTATAATTGGTTAGTATTAATTTACCCAAGGGTTAAGATTTTTTCAAAGGGTTATGATTTACCCAAGGGTTTAGGGTCTAGGATTAGGGTTTAGTGTTTAGTATTAGGGTTTAGGATTAGGGTTTAGGGTTTAGTGTTTTAGTATTAAATATTTTTTAAAATTTTTTTTTTGTTTTTTAATACTATTATTTTTTATTTATTTTTTCTATTTTTATTTTAAAAACGTAATATAAGTTAACAAAACTTTATTTCCTTTTAAAAAGATATCAAATATGAAACAACACCATCCTATTGGTTGGTGAACCTAAGAATAACTCCTCTTTTCATATCGACATAATTTCAGAGTAGAGTACTTTAATATGTAAACTAGATTTTGACCCGCGCTTGAAAGCGCGGAAATTTTTTTATGATTAAAAATTTATGTAATTGGATTTTGTCTTAATTTAAAGAATGTGTTGGGATAAAATCAGTTCATCATAATTTGTGGTTATGATTGTTATTCATTAGTTTTTAGATTCAATGTTTATTGTAGATTTTGTTTTAGATTTTGGTTTTTGGTTTTTAGTTTTTAAGTTTCTATTTTTGATTTTCAGCTTTTGGTTTACGTTTTTAATTTTTAGACCCGCTGAGTTAGTTTGAACTGATATTACTAACAAACAAATCCCAAATAATCGAACATCTAATTTAAAACTGAAAAGATGACAAATTTTTTTTTTTAAAGAAATTTGTAATAGTTTATTTTGTAAATAAATAAAAGAAAAAAATATAATCTGTTTTTCAGCTTTTGGTTTTGGATTTTAGTTTTTAGATTTGGTTTTTGGTTTTGCTTTACATTTTTAAAAATCAGTAAATTATTTAAGATAAATAAAACAATAAATTATTTAAAAGTTACCATTGAAATTTATCAAAACAAGGTGATTGTTATTTAAAAATAAAAAAATACATTAACATGTTTTAAAGTATATGATTTAAATAGACAATTTTGTTTTGTTTAAAAATATTAAATACCTTTTGGGCTTAAAAATAATAACTGATTTTTTGATCCATTAAGGTGGAAAGTTTATTCAATGTTTTTAGAGTTTTTCCTTAATACTAAGCCCAAAAACCAAACCATATAATTTGTTCTAAATAAGCCCAAAACTATATCCCATAAATAACCATCGGTTTAATTTAAGTAATGCGGTTCAGTTAACTATATGACTTGTATTATTTGTAACATTCTAGAAAGAGTACAAATTTAAATGACAACTTGTATCTTTTGTTTTTTTTTTTTTTTTTTTTTGACATCAAACAAAACACAGACTCATCTAGACTCTGTAAACCAAGCGGGCAGCTCGGTATCCATGTGAACAACGAAAGACGATTGTTTCCTTGCACTGCGTGTTAGACTGTCCGCCCTTGAATTCAAAGTTCTTGAGACATGGATGATTGTTGAGCTGTTGAAACTCCTTCGAAGCGTCGTGATGTCCTCCAAATAGCTTGCAAAAGCTGGCCATTCATCTGGTTCCGAAACCATCTTCACCAATTGGGAACAATCTGTTGCAAATGTAACACAATATTGACGCAAATTCCTCATGCTTTCCATTGCCCATATAAGTGCTTCCATCTCCGAATGTAGAGGTGAAAGACTTGCCCTGACATTTCGTGCTCCCATTAAACCTTGAAAACCTTCGAGAGTACTATACCAACCCTGTCCATCGAACTCATCCTTATCCTTCCATGAAGCATCAATAAAACACCAACGCCCAGGAATGGTCGGTAAAGTGATACCACTCTCTGGTTGATTCGTATCCGGAATTTTTTTTAGTTGAGCCTCCTTCCATAGAGTGGACTCTGTCTCAGCCAGAGAAAGTGTCTCTTTCGGATCAACATCCAAATTGCTAAAGCATTTACCATTTCGCCCTTTCCAGATATACCACAATATCCAAGCAAATTGATGATCTTCCATCTTCGGAATGACTCTCCAGAACAAATGATCCATATTCGTAAACAGCGATTCTGTAGGAAAAGTTAGTGGGTTCAATGGAATCTTTGACAAGGCCCAAACTTGCCTTGCTAGTGGACACTCAAAGAAAACATGATTCGTGGATTCCTCCGAAGCACCACATCTGTCACAATATATATCCCCCTTTAAACCCCGTGCTTGTAAATTCTTCTTAACCGCGATACATCCCGAAAGCAATTGCCATAAAAAATGTTTCATCTTTGGAGGACAGTTTACCTTCCAACAAAATGCTTTCAAAGAATCCACTGTAGGGCCTACAAATATTGTCGAGTTCTCCTTATCCGGGTATACTCTTTGGATTTGATACCCTGATTTAACTGTATATTTTCCGTTCTTGGTGAAATGCCATCCATCCCTATCATCAAAGATTTTCCTACTCAGGGGAATACTACTTATTATCTTCGCATCCTGAGGTTCTACCAGAGCCCGAATAATCTCCATATTCCAAGTACGCGTCTCTGTGTTGATGAGAGAATCTACAGTGAGAGAGTCATCTGTAAACTCCGAATTACCAGGTTGTAAACTCCGAATGACAACTTGTATCAGTAGATAAAAATAATGACTTTATTTTAATAGAATAGATTAAAAGGTCCTTATAACTAAATATGTAAATTGACACGGCTTATTTAATTTCAGACTGTAGGTGCTCACAATAAATATTTGACTAATACTCCCTCCGTTTCAATTTAATTGTCATTCTAGAGTTTTGCACACATATTAAGAAAATAATTAATTTTACATATGTTCAAAATAAAAACACAATTACTTATACACCTAACCACTTTTCAATCAATGAAAAAATAGAATAACATTTAAAATCAATAAATTTTGTATTGAAATTAAAAAACGATACTCATTTTAAAACGAAAATTTTATTCTAGAATGACATATAATTTGAAACGGAGGGAGTAGGTCTTTCTACCAATCTTTTCTTCCTTTCGCTGCAATGACGCAAGCATTTGCACGTTAACAAAAGATGACAAGTAGGATAACATTTGAGTTATGTGACGAAATTGACTCTGATTCTATGAATATGATTTGGTGACTATTGGGCTCGACGAGCCCGTTTTAAGAAAAACACGAAAACCACGTGGCGCCACTTTTAATTGTAAGATCCGTCATTTGACCGAATCATCTGACCGAACTAAACAAGAAGGACGGTAATGACGAGTAATGATGTAGACGTCGTTAAACAACTCTGACACGGCTTTTTTAAATCCCAAGACGGAACAACACTTTCATTGCGATCCCATACCTTCTTCCTTTCTTCTCCAAATAAAGAAAATAATAAAAAAAAAAAGACAATCTCATCTCTCAATCTCCGCAGCTTGATACGTGAGAGGAAAGATGGGCGTTGATCTGGAATCTATCTCCGAGGCTACATCTGGAGCTATAGGATCTCTCCTTAGCACAACTATCCTGTACCCTCTTGATACCTGTAAATCCAAGTTCCAAGCCGAGATCAGCGTTCGTGGTCAGCAGAAATACAGGTTTCCTCTCTTCTCCTTCTTCCTTTGCCTATCCTTCGTGCTTTGGTTTGTTACCAAATCATGATCTTCCCCCCCCAACCAATCTGGAATATAATCCAATTGCGTGTTTATCTTAAAAAGCTGAAAACGATGGTAGGAATTGGTTTTCTCTTCCATGTCTGGATCCAGATCCTCGTCTGGATCGTAACGTAGCTTTTGTTTTTATTTTTTGATGGGTAACTTCAAAGTTTTTTCTCTTAGTTTTAGTAAAAAAAAAAAGAGATTCGTATTTGGACTTATAATGTAAATCGACAATAAGAAGCTCGTGCAACTGTTTTAGAAGCTGTATTGAGAACAGAGTTTTCAGGTTTAGTATGATAATGATTATCATCTGTGATTGTCTTTTTGAGTTTTGTCTTGAATAACCTAAAGTTGTGTTGTTTTTCTTTTTGGTATAACGTTTTCAGATACTTGTCGGATGTGTTTTGGGAAGCGATTTCTTCAGGGAATGTTCTGTCTCTGTATCAAGGACTTGGGACTAAGAATCTGCAGTCCTTTGTTTCCTCATTCATCTACTTTTATAGTTATAGCTATTTCAAGAGGTTACATAGTGAAAGGGTAGGTTCTAAGTCAATTGGCACTACGGCTAACCTGCTTATTGCTGCTGCTGCTGGAGCTTGTACCTCTGTACTCACCCAAGTACGTTTTGCTTCAAACTATGCTATGGTTTTAGAAGTGTCAACGTTAGGACTTGTTTCCTACTTGGCCTTCTATGTTCTCTATTCGTAGTAACTTCAAGTTGTATGTTTGTGTAAAAGCCTCTAGATACAGCTTCATCAAGGATGCAAACAAGCGAGTTTGGAAAAGCTAAAGGACTGTGGAAGACCTTAACCGAGGGTGATTGGGGAAATGCATTTGATGGCCTTGGGATCTCTCTTTTGCTCACCTCCAATCCTGCAATTCAGGTTCCTTTCTACTTCATTTAAAATCATCAACTTCATATTCCCAAGTGTTATCTGCAATTAATAAGCTGATCAGTAAGCTTCTGTTTGCAGTATACAGTGTTTGATCAGCTGAAACAGAACCTCCTTGAGAAAAGAAAGGCAAAAGCCAACAAAGACTCTTCCCCTGTAGTCCTCTCTGCCTTTATGGCCTTCTTGTTAGGTGCCGTGTCCAAAAGTGCTGCTACAGTCATCACATATCCAGCAATTAGGTATTGTACAGCTGTTGCATTGATCCAATACTCTTTTGCGGGATATTGATCTGTATGCTTGCATTCATGGTGTTTTCTTGTAGGTGCAAGGTGATGATTCAAGCAGCAGATGAGTCGAAGGACAGTGAAGCGAAGAAGTTCCCAAAAAGAACCAGTAAAACGATACCGGGTGTCATATCTGCCATATGGAAAAAGGAAGGGGTCTTAGGGTTCTTCAAAGGCTTGCAGGCTCAGATCTTGAAGACAGTTCTGAGCTCGGCGTTGCTGCTAATGATCAAGGAGAAAATCACTGCAACCACATGGTTTCTCATTCTTGCAATAAGAAAATCTCTGTTTGTCACGAAAGGTAGGTTGAAAAATCCATAAAGATTACCCTTCCGCAAGTGTCCCAAGGCCAAGCAAGAGCAAAAGACTGGTGTGTTGGCAAGTCTGTTATTGAAAGAATTTCAAGCAGGCAAGTATTGTAGACTTTTCTCATTAAAAAACTATTGATTTTTTTAAAAGCAAGGATCTGATTTGTAGGGTTGCATAAGGCTACATGTTGTTGCCAGATTGAGTTTCTGGGCGTAGAGAACTTTATGGTTATGTGTAGTTATGTTTGTTATCTTCTGTTGTAATAAAAGCAAGGACCTCTGTGTAGGATCATGTGACTGAGATTAAAGAAAAGATGTCCTATGAGACTACAATCTCAGGGTCATTTTGTGGAAAAATTATACTCTTTTGTCTGCGTCTGAACGTTTGAAACAATCACTATTCAAAGCTCGAATTCACGTCTGTTCTTCAATTTCTGATCAATATCCATGATTTTTTCGGCTTAGCCCCTCCCATATTACTACATAACTACTCTTTTCACTGGCTAACAATTTTTTTTTTGAATACTTCGGGGGTCAAAGCCCGTAACCCTCCCAGGCCGGAAACCACATCATGATGTAATATTAGTTTCATCAGCTAACATTCAAGAACAAGAAGCAGAATTTCGTTCACTGAATTCATGATGAAATATTTAGATGGGTGATTGCGGGTTTAGCTGGATTCATGATGTCTGCTACCTTTGAACCTCAAAAGCACTTATTAACTCAGCAGGACAGAGACACTTGTGGTCAGCATTTTCCTTCAACAGATCGCTCTTGCAGTGGTGCTAAAGCTATGTCTGTCCACTCAATCAGCTTCGACGTTAATTTTTGTTTTGCTTCACAAACATTCTTTCACCCCACTTCCACTGTTTCATCAGGTACCAAAGTCTCAAAATTTGATTTTAGTTTTAACTTTGTTCTTGATTTCACACATTTGAAAAGTCACAATAGTTTTGTTTCTCTTTGTTTAATTGTGTTTCTATGTTTTTCAGTTTTAGAATAATGAAGTTAGAAGAGTTTAAGATTAAATGGTTTGGCTATGTTGTTGATTGAAAAAGACATGATCAAGAACCTTGATTATGAAAGTTTGATGCATAATTTTGCAGAAAAAATGTAAGAAGATAATTTAAAAACTGAGCAGCTTTAGCACCACTGCATAGCGTGGGAAGGCACATATTATTATTAATAGTGACATTGTTACAAAAATGTGAAACAAATCAAAGGTATTTGTATAATTGGGATTTGAATCAAACTGAAAGACCGAAACTTTGGCATTTATAACCAAAATGGTAAATGTGAATCACATCAAAAGCTGCTCAGATTGAACAGAAACTAAGCTGCTCATTTGTCTTCTTCCTCACTTCATTTTCTTAGCCCACACAAAAGCAGTTCAAACAACTAAAACATAAACCAAACCAAACAAATAGCAGAGATTCAGTAGACGGAGTAGAGAGTGCGTGTACGAATGTCTGAAAGAAGCCACGCACGAGTAAATATTAATTTCAGTTTTAGTTCGAATTTTTATGTCTTAATTTTTAGTTTCCGGTTCGGCTTGGTTTTGTTATCACAAACGTGCGTAAAGAAGAACAGGTTCGAAGAAACCTGAGAGACGCACGACACACAATCCCATACGCATTGAGCAGCAACGGCTATTTCTATTAGACCGAGAAACAAGTAGAGAGAAGAAATTCCGCTGATGACTCTTCTTCATCTATCTCCGCATCTCAATAGGTTTCATTTGATTCATCCACAAAGTCCGAGACTTTCGTCAATATCTCGAGTCTCTCTGTCACTCCCTTCGATTCCACATCGAACCCAATTCCAAAGTTTGGTTCTTTATGCAAGGAGAAGGAAGAAAAGAGTGACCGGGCACGGAAGAACTGCGAGGTTTCTGTTCAAGTCTCTGTCTTTACTGTCCCCTCATCTCCAGATTCTACCGCAGCCGTTGGATCTCGTCATTGCTGATTTAGGCGGCTTAGATGGAGGAGGAGGTGGTGGTGGTGGTGGGAGAGGGTTTTGGAGAGGATGGGGGAGATTTGATGGGTGGAGAAAGAAACGAAACAGAGTACCAATTTTGATTTGCGTTTGTGTAGTTATGTGGATTTATGGTTACTCCAGAGTCTCTGGGAAGATGATGATAAAGAGTGATGAGATTCTGAAGGTTTTAGGAGTTTGCTTACTTGGTATCAGTTTGTTGAAAGAGTTGAAGAGAGAGGCTAGATCTTTGGTCTTTGTGTTTCTATGTTTGGTTGCTTCACTGGTCTTTGGATTTAAGAGAGAGAGTTTTGTGAAGTTAGCTTCTGAAGTCAGGTCTTGTTGTTCTTCGGTTCTTCTTAACAAGAGGAGATCTCGTAGAAGAGTTTAAACAAATTCTTTCTCGAGGATTCTGCTGTTTTCATGCTGAGGATATGTAATTCAAAAAGGTCTAAAACTTTGACGGATTAGTCTGCATTTATCAAATAGTGTTACTTGATTCCATAGGAGATCCAGAGATGATTTGAAATATGTTCTATCCAGTAACATAATAACACAATAGCCATAACTTGCAAGCAAAGATTGATATTAACAATTTGACAATAATCAAAGGGAGATTAAACTTGGAAAATAACAAACATGAAATTCAATAGATTTATCAGCAAAAAGCAACATCATATGATTGGGTTTCAGGGTCATGTATCACCAGCGTATGTTTGTCAGCACGATCATAAAACAACAAATTCCTCTTCTTCTATGGACCAGAGTGTGTCCCATGTCTTGTTGAATGAATTGAACGACCATATAACTTGGTTAAACCGATTCATCTTGGATACGCACAAAAGAATCTCCAAATGATTAGCATAGGATACAAAGGGAGCTTTACATGAAGATCGAAAGACAACACCTTGGTTTCTTCACATGAAGTGACTCAAGTGATCCATCTACAAACACAGGAGTAGGGTAACCTCCAATAATCTGACAAAGAGCAGAGGGTGTGACATACCTCCAAGAGTTGGTGCTAAAATCGAAAACTTCACACGTAGTATCATTCTCTAAGCCTATTTCAAAAGAGTTATAGAGCCAAACAGGCTTGTGTGTTCCTGTAAACTCGTCTTTAACCGAACCCAGGCTTGAAGTTTGCGGGTCCAAGCTTGAAGTAACCGTATCCTAAGTCGATAATGAGTTGTTGTAATCTTAATAGAGGAAGAGGCCGATACTATCCAGTTGTGGGGTTGACTACAAAACCAGGTTTGTGAGAATCATACCAACAAACAAGGCCGTCCACGCTATTCTGACAAACTAAGTAAGGTTCTTTTCCCCAAGGGATCTTGGCCGATGATGATGATGATGAACCAAACACAAGTGTTCTTAGAGAATTTGACAACACCATGAGAACATCTTGATCTCCAAACTGCTGACGATGCTTCAACTGTTTTTCTTGGAAGGACCGGGATTCGGATCGTTGATTTCCATTTCTTTGACACAGCCTTAAAACTCAGCAAAGACTTCACCGGAAGTCTCTCCATGATTAGCTCTACCACACGGTGGGACACTGATACAGATTCCATCCTCCTAAGTTTTGTCTTCCTAGCCATTGATGATGATTGAAGAGATACATAGCTCTCTCTCTTTTATAAACACAGGAAAGGCTCACACGAAAGAGGAAAATCTCAACACATTTTTCCTTTTCTATCTTGTTATTTACATTATTTTGTTTACAGTAAAACAAAATCACATGTAGCCAACATAATCATTATGTTCTTATTATCTTTAATATAAAAATATTTTAAACTATGTATAAATACCCCTTATGTATGCAGAAGCTTCATACCTCTAAAGCTGAAACTACCACATAGCAGTTTCATTCCAAAACGATGTCTCAACTTCATATCTACTCTAACTCAACACCTGAAACATAACTCTCTTTCTATCCTAGATGATGATGCATGAGGCTCTTCATAATCATCTGTATGCATCGGGTAAACGATAACCAGACATTACTATTTTGTCAGCAAACATTTTGCCAGTCTTGGGCATAACATGCCAGTGCAGTGTCAAGTTGAAGTCTTTCCCTCGAAGGTTGTGTCCCTAGAAAAATCCCATTCACGACGCAATCAGATATGCTCTTGACAAATGGGGAACAATGATTGTTTCAAGAGAAAGTGCTTCAAGTACCTGATCGATGAAACGGTACTTATTTGATATTTGTATCCAGAACTTGGCATGCTCTTTCTCGCCTATTATGGCATCCCATAGAGAAACCTGTAAAAAAAAAAGTCAAACGTTCATGGTATATCAATAAGAATGTCCTGAACTACATTACAGGTTTGAAGAAGGCAGCAACACTAAAACCACATAACTCTGTACTAGTTCTTATCCAGAACGAGAGCAGTAGGCTATAAAGCGTTACCTGATTCAGGGAATTCTGGGAGGTTTTATACTCTGCAGCTACAAAAGCGAACACCTGCAAATATTTTCGTTTGTGTTGGTTTCATTATGTTCATCCAACACTGTACAGAAAGAAGTATCCAACAATACAGTACGAGATAGTGAAGACGGCAAATTAGCATTTGGGGTTGTTTCAGATGCTACTATATACCTGCTTCGTGTTCCAAGTAAATAGTGACTGCAAGTCCGCTGTTATATTCAGTGTCAAGCTGACCTGAAAACACACATAAAGTTCTGAATATATGCAACAGCTAACGAAGACAAAACTAGTGGTGTGTGTGCATACGCCACAAAAGTTGGACACTTTTGAGTTCAAATATGACTTTCAAGAGTACTAGGCTATTGTAAAATCATTAAATTTCTACTACAATGTTCAAACAAACAGTTGCATATGAATCCAAGGACCATCGAATTCAAGAATACACAATGAATACTAAGCTTAGTATGTGTCTCACTAAAATTTCAAACCAAAAGTAAAGATCATGACTATGTAAGGAAAAAAAAAACACAAAAGGGAGTGGTAAGAGCATGAAAGCTTACCTCATCATTACCATGGGGTTGCTTCTGGAACCAATTGATGTTCAATATCTGCACAACCACACACGAAAGCACAATCCTAATTAAAAGGCTTAGACTTCTTTTCCACCGCAAGACCAGAATCAAAACAAAACTAAGAATATAAAGCATGCATCTTTAAATCTCTGCAAATACAAAACAAAAGGGAAACCTGGATCTGAGCAGAGGGTGTTTGGTTACTGAAGTTATCAGAGAAGGAAGCAATCGCGCAGATGAAGGCAAGTATCGTTACAGCGAACGTGAGCAGAGCATTCGCTCTATACCCAAAAGAGTGCATCCTCACTCCTCTAGTGTGTTTCTTTTTTCGTTCTCCCGATCCACTCGAATGAAGACGAAAGAAGAAGAAGAGAAGAAGAGAAGAAGAGCGTTCTTGTTTTGCCTTCTTTATTATTATTTTCTTGATCAAAGCCTTCTTTTAACTAATAACTGTTCCTGCACAACAACAATAAATTTTAATTTAAATTATATTTAAAAATAAAATCCAGTTAACATAAACAAGATTTTTTTATCAACTAACATAAACTACAGTGAAACCTCTATAAATTAATAATGTTGGGACTACACCAAAACTAAACTTTTTATTAATTTATAGAGATTATTAATTTATCGAGATATTAATTGAACCAAAAATTCAATTTAGAACTATGAAATTATATTAATTTATAGAGATATTAATTTATAGATTATTAATTTAAAGAGGTTATACTGTAGATTTTATAAATTTTTACCAATATTTTAATATAAATTTAATTTATTTACACATAAAAATTAAAATAGAATAAACATTTTAATTTATTGGAATTATATTTAAGAAAAATATGTATGTATTTAATTATAATCTTAGATAGGTTTTCATTGATTTCTTTTGGTTAATATATAGTAGATAAATTGTATAATTTTTAAAATAAATTGATAGAAATTTTTATAATATCAGAAAATAAAATGAAACATAATTTTAAAAATTTATAGGTATCAAAAAGAAACAAATGATATAAAATTAAAAGTTTATAATTAAAAAAATTTTATTTTTAAAAAACTTTTATGATTATAAAAATAAACTTAATAATATTTTTAAAATTTTAAAATATTTTTATATTTATATATTATATTATTTAATGTCATATTTGAATATATTTATTTTAATGATGATGTTATGTTATTTTCATATTAGAAAAAAATTACCAAAAATATAAATTAATATTAAATATATTTATGATGTCATATTTAGCCATAAACTATTTTATCATTTCTAGTATGTCACATCATATTTTTAGTGTGTATAGAGGACATGCGTAAAATCACTTTACAAATAAGATCTACGGGATTTTCAAAATCTTGTTTAATAATAAAAAATCTATGGTTAGAAAAATATACTTAAATAATATTTCAAAAATTTTAATATATTTTATATTACATTAGTTAATATCATATTTGAATATATTTATTTTAATGATGATGTATAAGTTATGTTCATATTCTAAAAATTTTACCAAAAAAAAATCAACATTAAATGTAATTGCCATGTCATATTTAGCCATAAGACATGTCATCATTTTTAGTATGTCATGTCACATATTTTTAGTGAAAGTGATTGTTAAAAAGACATGTGTGAAATCACTTTGCAAATAATGTCTAGGGACCGTTTAGTAATCTATTAACAATAGAAATTCCAGCTAATATGAAATATTTATTGTGTCCTTTTTTATAAAACTGAAATTAATTTTTAAAGTTTGTCAAGTTAATTAAAAAAAATGTGTATCTACAATTTTGTGTATTTCCATTATAATATCAAAAGTTGTGTATTTTCATTATTTTCCTTCTTTCTAATTTTAAGAGTTGTATATTTTCATTGTAAAAGATAAATTAATTTTTAAAAAGAATTTAAATTATCCCAATAAGATGATTGCTAATTGATAAGACAAGAGTGGCTGCATCAGAAGTCGTTGAGCAGAAAAGAGAAGCGATAAGGCAATTGTGTGTCTCTTAACTATTACAAAGATGGGTACAAGAACCTTTGGAAGGTTGTTTCAGGACATAAGAGAGGTGTGGTCTGGTCTTAGCATCGTGATGTTTGGCCAATTAAGAGTAGTGTAAGGACAATGACTATGTGTTTTGCCTTTGAACCAATGAATGTTTTGTGTTCTTTTGGACTTAAGGGTTTGCTGTTGCTGAAATTAGGCTGAAAATGAATAATGTATGTTGATATTAATTTATCACAAAACTGAAAAGAAAAGCTGACCAAGAAATAAGTTTCTCGCTAGTTTCTAGCAGCGAAAGAGACTAACCTCATAAGGTTTTATAACTTGGAAAATATAAATATTACCAAACCTCAATAACAAAAATACTAATTTATACTAAACTAGGGGTTGGCCCGCCCTACGGGCGGGTATTCGAAATAAAATTATTTTATTTTTTTAACATGTGCAAAAACACTACTGAACATCATTAGTATAACTTTTTTCTAAGATCATATTGTATTTTTTTTATTAATTTTGTTAGTTTGAGTTGAAAGAACCACTATTGTTTTCTAAGAGAACACAAAATTTTAAATAAAAAATTAAGAAAAAATAATATGATTTGTATTTATTCTTTTGATTTTTATTTTCACTTTGATAAAGTTGAAGAAATATAAAGTAAGAACAAACAATACATTTTTAAGTGTTTCAAATTATGATATTGTTACACTAATTAATTTGGAAGATCGTATCGTTGTCATAGGGTTTTTTACTTTGTGTTTGTGTTTCAAAGAAATTTCGATATGTTTGTTTGATTTTTCAAGTGATGATGGACCTCATTTGCTCACAAATGTATTTCATACAACTATCTTATTAACTTGGGAGGTCAATGTGTTGACACATAACATGTGCTACATAAACAAATTTTCCAAAACAAATTTATCTCTTGTTGATCGTTTGTAAACCTAAACTTCCTGATATAGAAATTTTTAGGTTTTTGGTTTTATATGTGCATCAGTTTTGCTGATGAAATGTCTCGATATTTTCGTGGAAAAGTCTCTGGAGGCACAAGTGTGAAGTATAAGCTGCTTTAACATTTATCCATAGTGAATAATCATCGATGCTGTTTATAGGTCAGTCTGAGAAGTTAGAAGCTGTATGTTACACTGTTTTTTTAAGGTTTAATATTTATCTGATTGGAGTTAATAAGGAAGAAAATAGGGGGACTGTCGACTTGTGAAGTGTTATCAAAGTAATCGTAGTATAAGTTAAATCATCGCAATAAACCTGAATATAAGGTAGCATAGTATAACCTTGTCCATGAATGAATACTTTTGTTACTAAACTCATGTATATCGTGGAACTTGGAGCAGTAAAAAAGAGAAAATAATAGATAGGCTTGGATGAATCATATGCATCAAGCCATCTAGATTTGGTGGTCACTCACCTTTCCAACAATCCAAAACTGACTACTTGGTTTGATTATTTTGATCTTCACAGTCTCTTGTTGATAGAAGAGCTTAACACATGACTGAGAATCTCTTACACTCTATTCCTCTGGGTTTTTTTTGTATATATTGTGCTTTGATTTGCGGTTTATACATTCAATGTCAGTGAGAGAAAGAAAACAGAAACTCATATTGTAAATTGCAGGGCCAACCGAGTATAGTTTGTTGAATGAGAAACGTACTTATGATCAAGCTGAAGAGAATAACTTTGATCTCATTGAATAGACTAATTCACGTAGCATGTAGCGGAGAAGACAACTTATAAAGAGCTTATCTTCACTTTATCTGAAAGTTTCCCGGAGATCTCATGCTGCAAATTCTTGTTACCGTAAATGAATTACCATTCTGTATTTTTGATATTTTTATTCGTTCTTAACTAATATTTTTTTGTGGATTATATGTAAAAAGTAACTGTAAATCATTTACAAACGTTAGTCCTTTGATGATATTTCATTACCAAAAATGTGACATTCTGTTAAAATAGCAAATTATAATGAATCGAAAAATATAAGGCAAATCCACTAATTAACATTCAGCTTCTTCACAAGACTACATACACTTTTGTTTTCTAATAAAACTTGAAACACTGGATTTTTACGTAGTTAGAGAGTGGGGGGGAACGACGAGTTTAATAGTTGGAGTTGATTTTAGACGGTTTTAGTATATGTTCAGAGATGATATATATGCAGTGTGTTTCCACCAAGAAGCTTCAGCCTGTCTCACATGAAGCTTTTTCTTAGCATCTTCCAATGCAGTATGCACCTCTTTTATCTATATTTTTGTTTTGTCGCTATGATCCCGTGTAGCCCTATCTCCAGCACATAAGGACACACTCCTTGTTGTTCCTCCAATGGTCCTGAGCAAATGGCTGAACCTAGTTCCTTCTAAATCCTCTATCTTCTCTGAAATCTCATATAAACTGTTTTACAAAAAAAAAAAAACAGTTCCATTAGAGAATACAATCAAGAGTTGGTGTTATGTGGGAGCCTATGCGTTGGAGTTGAGGCAAAGAATCCAAATCTTTAACCGCTTGAATAGCAAGGTCTTTAAAGTCATACTTTACCTTGAGCTTGGAATAGTTACCCACCTGTTTTAACCAATCTGAAGAAACTCAAACTAACCTCAAATTTCTGCTTCAAGCTGATCTATTTAGCCTCCAATTATCTTCTTCCCCTTTCTTAAACCCATAATGTTTAGAAAACTCTTCATGTCACTCGTGGTGGAATATGTGGAGGTTCAGTTCTCGTTTTCACCTCAACTCATCATTGTGATATATTCTAATAATTTTGCTATATTGCCGCATATCCTAATAAACTGTTGATCTTGCGAATCTTTTCTCTACCAGCAGAGATTAGATGTAGTAAATAACAACTCACTCCAGTGCTGAACAAAACTCCCTTCTTTGCAATTGAGAGAGCAATTGATTGATGGTCTGTTTATACAATGATCGATACTAAATTCAAGCTCACTTAGAATATCCTTAACCGAATCGAATGGAGACAGGGGAGTCCGAATGACATCGAGACCAATGAGCTAGTACACAGAACCTTCACTGAGATGATGTGGGAAAGTGATGAGGCGGTTGTCAAGTTTAAAAAATAATTCATTTGACTACCTATACTGTAAAATCGATATAAACTCATTAAACATACTTGCTTCTTTCCAAAATCACTTCAGAAGCAGCAACCAAAAAATTTGAATAAGAACTTGGAACTTCATAACCATGTATAGATCAAAGTTTATTGATTTACCATAAACACCATCAAATTTGACCTGCCAATCTCTATAGAGTTACACATGGTTAAGGGAAATAGTCTTAAGAACTAACGATATGGGTTTAGGAACGCACGGACTTTGTCTTTGAGATGAGATTGTGGAGACGAAGCATGGGACGTTTCATTCAACTGAGGTCGAACCTTTAAATGGAATCAGTTCCAACTCCTTTGGGCACCAAGAGAGGTTTCTGTTTATTCTTCCTTTTTTGTGGTTTTTCTGGATTTTGACTTGTAAATAGTGTTGTCGTGGGAATGGTGAGCGTCATATATATAATAGAGAAGCAGGAGAAGCCGAAGCTACTGTACAGACATAAATGTATTGAATGGAAGAACTATTGCTGTAGATAGTGGGGAAGAGGAGACTAAGGTACTGAAAATTGATGATGACGGAGAAGAATCGAAAAGTCTGAGACGGCAACTTGAACACTTGTTTAAGAGTCGGACTAGAGAATGGTTGGCCTTGTAAAGAAAAATTTAAGGCTTTGATCAATTAACAAATACATAAGTTTAATTTTGATGGCCCATTATATAAAGAGGACATGTGTCATTTTTCCCCCCAAAGAGTGAAAAAGTCAACTTTATTATTAAAGACTAGTGATATGCCCGCGCTACGCGCGGGGCATCTGTCACTTGTTGTAATTTGTGTTTGGTTGATGTTCTCATGTTTTGTTTGTTTTGTTTGATGGATGGTAGAACAAAAAAAAAGATTCTTGAAAGCATGATGCACTTTTTTTGGTGCTCGCTGATTAATGTTTCTTTTTTATTGTTCTTATTTGATTAAATGTGGGTATATCCACGTAAGTAATGGTGTGATAAGATAAATTTTGATGGTAATTTAGTACCAAAGAAGAAGACAACAGAGAAGTAAGAATTTGATTTTATAGACTTCTTCTATCGTTTGGTGTTTAGGGCCATTTATTCTGTGGCGTTATAATTTTTGGAGATAATGGTTTGTTATGAATTCACTGTTTTGTTTACGTTGAGTTTGTAACTTCTTAGCAAGAGTATGTATAAGTCACATATAGTGTGTATTTGGAAGAGAGTTTCATAGTATAACTATAATTTTATACTGGTAAATTAGTACCATAGGAGAAAACAACATAATATTTTAAGTGAGCATCATAATATATATTCTTTATATTGCGTTGAACCTTATTAATAATATAAGTATAATTTTAGACTGGTCAAGTGTTCTTATGGTTTATTTAACCAATGATATTTGTACCGTATAAGTTTGTACTATAATGTTGAAAAAAGGAACCATAGTTCATCCACTGGAAAAGATAATACAAATTTAAACTGTCCAAATATTATTATAGATTTTGGTATGCACGAAAGAGATGGAATCTATAATGTTGAAAAAGGAATCAAATTGCATTCATAGTTTAAACATCCCACCAAGACAAAGAGTTCAAAATATAAACGTAAAAGATACTAAAGAGTTGAAACTAAAAAAATAAAAAGATGAAAAAGCATAATTTGATAAGCAAGATGGTGGGGAATTGTTTAATCCACATAGATATACTCCTGGCGTGCCTTATTCTTCAAGTTTTCACCGTTGACAAGTCTCTGTTTGATTGCATCATCAGTTAACCCCGCACCATCCCCATTGTCATCGGGTCCATGGTCATCTCCCTGAAAACATCGCAATGGTGTGAATCTAAAAGTGATAAATTTTGTAAACTATAAGACAGTAAACAGTACGAACATCATCATTAACAAAGGCTGGCAATGGTGCCCTCTCGTGCTCAGTTATTATACGGGAGACAGTGAAGGTTTGTTTTTTGGAAGTGAAGTTGAACTTTCCCAACTTGAGCTGGAAAGTGAATGTTTTTCCAACTATTTCATTCAAGGAGGGAGGAAATTCTGTGTCGACTTTGGCATTTATACCAGTACCCTGCAAATTAGAGTTTTACAATTCTGAAACCAACCAAAGAATGAGTAGCGCAAGCTATTAGGTGGGTTTTGGAGGCGTTACCAAAATCTGAGCAGCCTCAGCTCTTGAATATTGGTTGACTTAGCAATCTCGGTATCAAATGCTACAAAGACAGCATCATCCGTACGGTCTTTCACCGACAACTCCACATGATACCTTTTTCACAGAGAATAGAGTGTTAGATAATTAACGCACCTGAATTAATCCAACTCTATTTGTCAGATTATTTTGAATAAGAACAGTTTAGAAGCTAAACCTATCGTTTTGCCTATCACAGAAGAGGCAAGTGAAAGATGACTCATCACGCTGAAGCTTCTTTGCGCATTTGGAGCATCCAATATAGGACCATCCCTTTTCTGACTGAACACTGGTAGCCTCAGCCTTACATAGAAACTCAATAATCTGACACAAATAACAGTGTCATAACAATGAAAAGGAAGAACATGGGATATATAATTTTTGATTGGAAAAAAGATTAACCTGAGGATCGGCTGTAAGGACATATTGGTTCAGCTCAGCAATGGTTAGGGGCCCTATTTTTTGTGCAGGGACCACTTTCGATGAGGAGGAACTCGCATTGGATCCATCACCAACCAACCTAGCGTGAAAAATGTGGGAAGGACGGAACACGTTAGAGTAAATCATTGGAAACAGATTTGAACCAATAAGATTAACTACATGAATGTTAGAATAAGACCCCCTTACCTTTCAAAATGTTGTTTCCCTACAGATGTTTCACAGTCGAAATAAAAGTGGGTACCAGATGTGGCGTTGAGAAATAGCTTTCCTGCAAGTTTAAGGTTCGTGAATGGAGGGTTATATACTGATCATACCTGAGCTAGGCATGTCCTTATGAATGATTTGTAAGGGAAAAGAATTAAATTACCTCCAACCACTTTGGGGTTGATGCTTGTAAAGAGAATAACCTTTGCTTCAGATCCAAGCTCGTCAAACTTAGCTTGGCAAGTGAAAGCTCGATTCCCTGCAACAATTTAATCAATTCTGTGTTATTAATGAATACAATGAAATCTTTTATTTTTGGAACACTGAAATACAATGAAATCAATAGCTCAAATAAGAGACAATCATTGGATGAAAACAATATAAAGATTACCCTTCAATTAGCAGAGTCACCATAACATGCCGTCAGTGATTGTGCTCCTGATCGAGTTTAGTTCACCAACAATATCTTGCAGAATTAAGTAATGGACGTTAATAAAGTTGAATGAAGACATTGAGATAAGTTTCAAGAAGAAGAAAAGATTCTTACCTTGTCGTTGATTGTTGGTATTTTCCAATGCCAAAAGCTGCTCGTGGCTGCGGAAGCGGAATAACTCAGTTGGAATATCCTTTTCAGATTCATTTTTTTGCTTCAAAGGAAGTTGCATCATTGAAGCGTATAGAGATAGGAGAGTCTGAGAGTCGGACTTTAGGGTTACTTCGTGAGACATCGAAACCACTGCGGCGTAACAGAAAAATATGTAAACTAAATCACAAAGATGAACTTCTCTGCGGCATAAGAGAAAGGAGAAAGAAAGAAGACTACCAAAACCCTAACCTTTAACGGGCCAAGACTGATAATTAGAAGCCCATAAACAAAAAGACAAAATAAGAAATAGCCCATACAAAAGTATGACACGTGGATTTTTTTTGCCCCTCCCTCTCTTGCTGATGTGTACACCCTAAGAAGGGAGAAATCTCTACTTTATTGTATAAGATAGCAAAGCTGACCCGGAAATAACTTCATCTTACATTCACCAAATCCAACACAAAAGCCAATCTAGTTACAAAACATAATTAAGAAAAGGAGTTTTACCTTTTCTCCAACTCATTACAAAATTTAGTCATATCATATTTCTCTCTAAGTTACTTTCACGTCTTTTTCTTCATTTCCTCAACAAGCACCACAAATTTGTCCTTGAGAACACCGATTTCTTTCTTCACTTCCTCCCTGACAAGAGAAATTTCCATCATCATTTCTTCCTTGAGAGCTAGAGGCAAAGATGGCAGAGATATATGCTGTTGAAAACTCAGAGCAAATCTTATCCAAGATGATTCAATCTTGGATTGTAGAGCATCCACATGGAGTAGGAGGTTCTTTCTGTGTTGTAAAGAACCAGCTTGTGTCTCACAGTCTCTGAGATATACATGAAACCCGTCAATCTTTGGGCGCAAAGAGAATTGGCCTCACATGTGTTCTGCAAACTCAAATAGATGTAGCACCTCCAACTCGTTTCATCAGCTGATAACATCTAGCAATCTCGTCGCGTTTTGGAAAAACCATGATCCGCGAGGCGAGAATTAGAGATTAAATGAGATGATTTCATAGAAATTAAATGTTATATGGAAGTATCCAAACTAACTATGGAAAGATCACTACAAGAAAAAAAACCTTTTCTTAGCGTAAGGAAACATCTATTATATGCTTTTGTTAGCGTTATTAAAACCGCTATGTCTGTCCGAGCTATAATAGGTCCCCCCTATATTATAGCGTTATTGTAAAAGCTATAATACTTTTGCAATATTATAGCTTTTATTTTGGATTGCTATTACTCCATGGTATTTATAATAGCATTTATTTAAGATGTTATATATTGTATTTGATAGCAAATTTTAGAAGTTATCATATAAATTGTTATCGCACAATATTACGTATTGNTCCGAACAACAACAAGTCAACTAGAAACATAACCCAGACAACAAGTCTCAATCCAAACTAGAACACACAATAATATCAAGTAGAGTGAGTAGTAGTACATTACACCTGATAGTAGTCTTAACACAAGATCACTTTATCCTTTGGCCATGCAATACATGAGCCAATTGCATCTCCCATACACTCAATCTCAGAAGATGGATGCCAAACCTCTGCCAAAGTCACCTTCACCACATCAATCCAAACTTTAACTGCATTTGCTCCCAAGGCAACAAAGTGAACTGTTTGTTCTGGATTGTCTGAAGCCCAACGTCCTTCTGCAACCACCTACCTATTCCCGCCAATGGACATCAACTTGCACTTTTGATTCTCTTTGGGAGCAGCATCGCTTTGACAATGACGCTACAATGAATTCAAGACAAACCAGTTTATGTCAATGAGATATATAACAACAAACAAACTGATACTTAAACCTATACGACAAACTTTACCTGAGATCTTCGAAGAGGAGAGGCGGCTTGAGTTTTCTTCGGAGTAGCTTTAGGAGAAGGTTTGTGCACTGGAGGTTTGGAAACTGGTGACGATTCTGATAATGTTATAAGTACTTGAGATATGCTTGTAGCAGTAGATTCTTTAGGAGATGTAGCGCGTGGTGAATTTGTTGCGCTTTCAAACACACACTTACTTGCAGGCCATGCTACAAAATGCTTAACAGAGTCCCGAAGGTATGTCTTATCTGGTCTAGGTCTCCACAGAAATGTGTCAGGTTCATGCACCACATCCACATATACTTTGACTGCATTTGGTCCAAGAGGGAGACGATCAACCAATGCTTTTGGTTCTTGACACTGCCAACGGCCTTCTGCAACAACTTCGTCAGTAGTTGACCAAGGTGATAAGAGTTTGCATTTGTTGACAGAATACGCCGTTGGGCTCTAACAGGCACATGCAAAAGAGAATATTAATATGTTAATTATCACAACAAATCAGACAAAGAACTTGATTCTTGATTACACATCTTACCCTAAGAGGAATGTCTTCAGAATACATCCACTGGTCTGAAAAAATGCATTTATTGGCAGGCCATGCAATCATCTTCCCAACCGCTTGCTCAACAATACACATACCGGTTGCAGGCCTCCATAGAAATGCATCTGATTTGATTACAGTTTCAACCAATACTTTAACAGTAAGAGGGCCTAAGGGGATGTCATTCACAAAGTCTTCCGGTTCAGATGAAATAACAAGGCCCTCAGCAACGTTTTCATCAGAACCAGATCAATCAACCAACACACACTTAGGGTGTGCTCTTTTGTTAACACTCTACATAAATGTATTTTAAAACATGTCAGTAATAACTAACCAAATATTATTTAGGATGTCTGTAAATTACTTACTCTTGCTCTTGCAGTGTCTGAGTTTTCACCTATCTCAGGTTCTTGCTGTAACATAAATGCATGTAAGTAATCACCTAATAACTAACATCTAAGAATATAAACATGCTTAATATAAACTAACTTGTCTCCTCATTCTAGCAAGTTCAGATTGCAACTCGTTAACTTTGTGAATCAGACCAAGTTGCTTCTCTTCCATTTCAGCCATAAGCTGTTTCTTCACTTGAAAACAAGCTAACTTCGTCTTCCCAATGTTTCTTCCCATTGCCCTCAAATGACCAGGATTGTCAGATCCTAAGAGGACTGAAAGCGGATCAACACTAAGGTTTGTTGAACTAGAATTAGCACCACTATCAACGAGCTCAGCTGCCTTTTTTCTGCCAACAAAAAACATGTTACCAAGCATATAATAATATCTCTGAAGGGCAAAAAAACGAACTACTTACAAACTTCTCTGCAGCTATCATATTGACCGTTGTTCCATCTTTTTTTGTACGTGACTTGACCCACACTTTAAGCCTACTCACTTTTGAGACTCCACCACTCTCTTGTTTCTGATGAAACAACACATTAGATGTGGAAAAGGTGGTAAGTGACGAAAAAGTAATCTGATAAGGTGAAGAAATGGTACCATATCTTCCGCTAGCCTAACCATTCCTCTACGGCTACAAGTGTGAGGAATTTGTTTGCTCCTCCTCTCCTTGTATTTATCACTCACAGCCTAGCATAAATAGAGTGAAGATAATCAATATCGAACCTTGAAAACAAGCTAACTTAGTAGTAAGTACCTTAAAGGCTGGACTGGTTTTGCACTTGACAAATTTTTGCCATTCAACTGGATCAACATTCTTTGGTCTAAGATTCATCCTCTCTTGGTTAGTAGCTTTGCCCCTTATCTGCGTGACAAGTCTTGATTTTGAGGCTCTCCATAAAGATCCCATTTGCCTCAACACAGCATTCTTTTGGTACTCTTCATCAAGCTCAAACCTTGCCTGCAATCACAAATACCCCAAATGAATTACATATATCAATACAAAACCATCAATGTGAAAATGTAATAGGAGAAAGTCACCTGAACAGATTTCCATAGAACCGTTTTTACTTCCTCACTGATTTTCCTCTAATCATCAAATGTGACAGGTACATGCTCCCGCACTAATGGACCTAGGTATGAAGACAACTTCACTGATCCTTCACCAACAGGATCTCCAAAATCATTGAATTCTACTCTTTCTCTAGCATTTGGATCTCTGGTGATGTGCTTCATCTTGGTTGGTCTTCGGTGTTTCTTCGGCTTAGGCTGAACTTCATACAGTTCCACCTCTCCTTCCGGCTCGTTAGCCTCTGCATGTTCTTCCTGCTCATTAGCGTCAGCACCAGCAGTTTCTTCATTTTCTTCAAGCTCTGCATCATTAACATCCACAGTTTCTTCATGTTCTTCAAGCTCAGGCTCAATAACATTTGCAGTTTCTTCATTTTCTTCAAGCTCATCATGCTCTTTATCCTCGACAGGCTCTTGATCCTTTTCAGAATCTTCATGCTCTTCCTCCTCGTCAGCCTCTTTAGCCTTTTCAGGCTCATCATGCTGTGGTTGGCATACCACAATACCAATAAATTCAACTTCCACTTCAGTCTTCTTCTTCCTGCTCCTGTTTGTGACCTTCGGGTCTTTTTTGGTGACCTTACTAGTACTCATTTTCTTTTTCATTCCTGTATTCTTTGGACGACCCATCTAATTCACCTGAAAAAAATTACACATTAGTTAGCACATCAGCCATCACAGAAGTCATCACAAAAAAAAACATAAAAGAGTCAAGCATCAAACAAGACACATATCACAGAAGACATCACAAAAGAACACAAAACAATCAAGCATCAAACAAGACACATATCACATGCATCACACATATATGCCTTCACAATCAACTCGGGAATTGTGAGATTCATCTATATAAACATCCATGTCAATGGTTGATGGCAATGGTCCAATATCAGTGTTGACATCTTCCTCTTCTGCTACATTGTATCTTCTTGATGGACCTCTTAGCACAACATACCAGCTAGATGTATCATCCTCCCTTGAATAAAACACTTGTTTTGCTTGAGAAGCTAATATGTATGGATCCCTATTAAAGGAAACTTGACTCTGATTCAAATTAACAAGTGTATACCCATCTTCCACCTTAACTCCGTTTCCTCTTACTGCCCATTGACACCTGAATAGAGGGACATAAAAGACATTATAGTCCAGCAAGATAATCTCTATAAATATCCCGTAGTATGATACCAAATCAACAACTTGTGAAGTGTCTT